ATCCATATATCCGACGATAATCAACGCCAACACAAACGCGGCGGCGATGTTGGCCGGAGAGAAGGGCGCCATTTTGATTAGCCAGGACAACCCATAACTGGTAATAACAAAATAATTGTATCAAAATCATTTTTAAAATTGATCTATCACAGAACTGACATTTGTTAAATAATAAATCATTAATAATATGATTATTTAGAGAATTATTTAGAGGTGAGTAACTGTAATATTTAGCTGTTATGTAACATATACTGTAAACTTTACTAAAGTGTTTGTAACAAGGTTTAAGTAATAATAAGTTAAAAATTGCATTAATAGCATATGTTGCAAAATATTGAGTTCTTTGATATATTTTTATAAATTTAATAACATTACAGATAATTATAATTAAAGTTTGTCAATTTCATTTAAATGTGTCGATATTATAAATAAATTGTTTATAATGAACAAAAAAATTTCATTAATTTAAAAATAATTAATTAGTAATTTGATAAATATAAAATTATATTAATGGATAACCCAGCTCCAACGCCTATACCCCCTGTGCTACCGATTCAACTCTATATGACATTTACTATTATATGGCTGAGACAACAACAACACGATTATTATGCCTACAGAACACCGCTCCCCACAAAAGCCTCATATGATTATGTGGTGGTAGGTGCCGGATCTGCCGGCGCTATAGTGGCCTGTCGTTTGGCTCAAAAGGGAAAAGATGTGTTACTTCTGGAGGCCGGGGGTGCGCAGAATTCATTAACTGACGATCACCCTGGTTATTACCTACAAAACTTTGTCTTAAGCGGTCCATCGTTTTGGCCATATTCAGTGGTCCCTCAAAATGTGGGTAAGGGGTCGCCAGTGTTTCTCGGGTCAATAAAAGGTCGTGTATTGGGCGGATCGTCCACTAAAAACTTTATGATGTATAATAGGTATAGTACGTCAATATTTAAGGTTTAAATATTAGATTTAATTTAATTTTGTATTAATATAGGGGTAATCGTAAAGACTACGACAATTTTGTGACCCAATACGGGGCCACCGGGTGGGGCTATAACGATGTAATGCCCTTATTTAAGTTAACTGAAAACAATACAGATCCCAATGTGAGCGGTATATATCACGGACGTAACGGTCCCATTGGCGTGTCCTCGGTGTCCAATGTCTCTCCGATTGATAAAATATTTTTAGAGACCCTTTCAACTCAAGGATTTTCTTATACTGACGTGAATGGGCCCACACAGGCGGGCATTATGTTACTCCAGTCCACTATTAACAGGGGTTTGAGAGCATCGACAGCCACCGGATATCTCGAGAGTAATATCTGTCCCACAGTTACTATAGTAACGAAAGCAACTGTCAATAAAGTCCTCATCAGTTGGGATACGGATGGAAAGCCGATTGCATACGGCGTTCAGTTCATTAAAAATCTCATCACATATACAGTGTTAGCCAATAGAGAAGTCATTTTATCAGCCGGTAATTAATGTTTATTTTTAAGTTTAATATTTTTACGGATGGAAAGCCGATTGCATACGGCGTTCAGTTCATTAAAAATCTCATCACATATACAGTGTTAGCCAATAGAGAAGTCATTTTATCAGCCGGTAATTAATGTTTATTTTTAAGTTTAATATTTAAAATTAATAATTGGTATAAACTTAAATAGGACCAATAGGTTCCCCACAAATACTAATGTTGTCGGGAGTGGGACCTAAGGATCATTTAACATCTAAGGAAATCGCACCCATATATGCGGACCTACCCGTCGGCAGCACATACTGCGATCATTTGACACTAATTATGCCGGTATTCCTACGGCAAGCTGGTTTGGACCCTCCCTTTCCACAACTTATTCCCAATCAACTATATGAGGACGACGTGTTGGCTGCCGGCCCGTTATCACAGGCACCCATACCTATACATTACTATTCAACAAGTGTTAACCCCGATAAGGATTACCCTGATGTTGCTTTATATGGAATTTCGTTCTCAAAACAATTGATTACTAATAATTCTAGAAAACGCCAATCAATTGCTGCTAAAAATATATCTAAATATATTGAAAAACTATTTCATAGTAAACTCAACCGCCAGTCCAATATCGACATAGGTTTACAAGTTGAGTGGTTAACCTATTTGTTAACCGTACTTACCATGGACACCTATGTATTTCTCCCTGCGCTGGTTAGACCTAAAAGTACGGGTACAGTGAGATTGAACAGTACATCAATTTATGATATCCCACTCATTGATCCCAAATATTTGGACAATCCTATCGACAAACTGGCATTTATGGAAGTGGTGTCCGACACCTACCGTTTTGTAGAGACATCCAAATTTTCGCAGTACGCTTACGTCAACCCACAACCCATACCCGGCTGTAAATATTGCGATAAAGGACCTGTATATAAATGCACTCAATATTTAAAGTGCCAAATTGAACAAATGGGTTATTCATATTATCATCCGGTGGGCAGTTGCAAAATGGGTGACCCTTCCAGACCGGACACTGTAGTCGACCCCCGGCTACGAGTGAAAGGTGTGAAACACTTACGAGTAGTCGACTCATCCATATATCCGACGATAATCAACGCCAACACA